ACCCAGTATTGGAATGTATAAGCGCTAGGCTTGGCTGGTCAAGGAAGGCTAGCTGTTGTAAAGCTCAGTTTGTCGACTGCTACCGTCAGTAGGAATTGAGCAGTGGTAACATATCAATCTTAAGTGGTGGGAAAGTGTTGTTCGCATGGGTTATTTCAGCCATTGGGATTTTCAGCAGAAATCGAATGGTATCTATTGGCTAACTTTGAGTACATCGATCCTTCGACAGGTGAGTTGTTGAACTGCTGAACCGTTCGTTCCGGTCAAGGGTTATAGTTCTTTGTCACGAGCTGAAATGACTTAAATATTTGGAGTTGTATCATGGGAAGTGCTTGGGGTTATTGAACTTCTTGAGATTTCTAGAAGTATTCATCTGGATTTGGGATGTGTGTATGATCGTTAAGATTGGCTAGTAATGGAACGCTAGTCCTTGTAGTCTCAGGGTTTCGATAGTTTTGATTGTAAGGATGTGAAATGGGTTGGAAATCCATCAACCTTTGTGGATTAGAAGAGAGCAGTCGAGTCCAAGTGGGGGAGAACCGTTTGGATTTATGGGGATAGAATCAGGTGCGAACTAGGAAAAGTTCCACATCCTAGCCAACAGAGAAGCCAGTTCAAGTGGCAGTATGGATAGAGGTTGCGCGAGAGGTTGGTAGTTCAGAAGCTTTCAACATCAGATTGGCGCATTCTTAGTAGTGCTTAGCAGACGCGTGGATGAATCCAGGTCGAGGATTGTGTTAGAGCCTCTCTTCTGTTCTTGTCTGATGAAGGATTTTCGGTTCGAAGCATGACCTGAACACCTGATTGGAATATAGAAAATGTGGTCTGACTCGTGATGATTATGATTGGTATGATAGAAGTATGGTGAGACCATGGGTTGGACCCCTGGCAGTATGGAAGTATTGTATGACTACGGGGCAACTGTAGCATACACAAGGATGATAGGCTGTCAGGGAAAGTGTTGTAAGTCTACAATGTATTCGTGGCATTCACAGATTGAGGTAGGCCATTGTAGGAGTAGTCGTTAGGCTGAAAGAGGATTAGCGCGTGCCAGGGGAAAGGCGAATAGTATCATCGGAAGATTCTCCTTATTATGAGAGGATAATCAATGGGTCCGAGGCGAGGTTAGGCCTGTGTAGTACACGTCTAGTTGAGACCCATGGGCGAGGCCCGTATGGTTATGATAGTGCGGGTGTGAACCGGTGGAGATCAGTTGGAACAAGGCATTGGATTATGTTCAGAGTAGAATGACTCTATGGTCAGTGATTGGTATATGTGTGATGTATAGGCTAGGGTAGCCCTTATTAGTTAGACTCTTAGTTGGAGCCTTATGCAGGGACCAGATGTGTGACTGTTAGTCTACGCGGTGGATGGGGAATTTTATATCTCGGTTTAGTGGAATCGGTAGATTACAGATAGAATGTAAGTGCAAATCTTTGGATTTCAGGACGTGAGTTATGTTCCCAGTTGGCACAAGGGGTTGAGACTCGCGTTAGGAGTCGCATTTGTTTATATGAAAGATATTTTCAACAACAAGGTTTGGTTAGGATTCTGTCTGCCAAAAGTGTAGTCTAGATTATTTAGGACCGAAATGATTTCTTCCAGTACGGATTGCAGAGATAGGTCATATTGATAGTATTTCGGAATGGTTTTGCATGTCAGGATGTCGGATAAGGTATTGTATTCCTGGATCTGAGCTGAGTAGTGATGATTGTCCTTGATTGGTTAATGTTAGTGGGAGAAGGCATTCGTTCGTCGTAAGTATGGGAGTTTGCTAAAAATGGGTTCGATTATTGGAAGATCATCGTATGTTGGGGTCGACTTTCATCAGGGATCTAGATGAGTTGGTCGGATCGTCTGATTTCCTGGAGAGTAGCAAGGAGTGATTTCGAGGAAGAAATCTAATTTAAGTGGATGAGAGTTGTAACACCGTGTTTCGAACTGTTTCATAATCTGGGGACGTGACTCGAAGACCAGTTATCATAAGGCTTTGGGCCTTGGGGGAAAGAGATATTTAGACTACTTTGGATGTGGGTAATGTAGATTAGGTGATCCGAGAATTCGGTTGGTGCTTTTGAGCCTAAGGGTATAATCGTAAAGTGATAGTTCGAGCCTTTTATGAATTTTGGATTTAAGTTCGGTAAGTTTTAAGGAAAAGGAGAGTTGATATGGTTGTATAGCTTCTCAACACCTTTCTGTGGATATAAATATCGTCGAAAACGGAGTTGCAACGAAGAAGTTATGACAGTTTGAAGTTAGGGCGGTTTTGGGTTGAGCCGCGTACGATAGGCGTACCCAACATGTACGATGGGAGTACTAGCGCATACCTAGTACGTTGAGCATACACGATCAGTACCACAACCCTATTTTCGAGGTTTGAGCTCTATTTAAGCTCGTTAACTCCCCCAAACCCATTCCATTCTCAGTCTCCACCTCTCCAACACCCTCTCTTGAAACCCTAACCCTATTTTGAGCCTTGTGAGCAAAAAAAGGTATTTTTAAGTTCTTTGGAGTGTTCTTGGTGCACCTTGGAGAAGAAGGAACTCATTGTAGAAGTGTTTGTTGCATTGGAGCTTATAGATCCACACTTTATTCACATTGATCTTTCTTCTAGAGAGTGAGAGGATTCGCAAGTCAGCAGCTCGAGTGTGATTTGATACCTTCAGTCTCAGGTGAGTTTCCTTCACTGAATCCATGGGTCGAAGGCACCAATGTCGGCCCACTAGTTAATGATGTAGTATGATGATTGTCTTCATGACAATTGTCAGTTATGCCTGTATTTTCTTGATGACTATGTGATTCTTTTGTTATGATATTATGTGGTAATGGTAGGGGTGAAATAGACCCGATACCGGTTGAAATAGACCGAAAGGGATTGAAAACACCCAGATATGCTTGACTGTATCCGGTTGAAATAGACCAAACGGGATTGCAAGCATCCATATATGCTTGATTGTTATGTATGTATGGTATGTGGTATTTTGGGGGAGCTCACTAAGCTTTGTGCTTACGGTTTTCAGTTTATGTTTCAGGTACTTCCAGTCCGAAAGGGGAGGGCCCATCTTGATCGCACAACATCTGCCCATGTTTCCCGCATTATGTGATTTTGGGAAATTTGTACTCTGATATTATTTCACTATAATACACCTTTGGTTGTTTTGACATGGTTACTGGATGCTTTAAAATGAATTAAAAATGAAATTTTTACCTTCTAGTTTTTTTGAGATGTTACAGGTGCAACTTATCAACTTTTGAATTTAGAGACTAAAACTACAAATTTAACCAAATCATAAGGACTAATATTGTAATTTATTCTGATAATAATAATAATAATAATAATAATAACATGAAGAAGATAAAATAATTTGAAAACTAATTCCAACAGATTATCAATGAAAAATGTAATTTTTTTTTAAATTAATAGGTAAGTAATCTGTTGGTAAATTCTTTACAAATACTATTGGTAATTTGTCTATAACAATTTAGGGCTTTTTCTATCAGAATTCTATTGATTAGTCATTCATATTTTTTTATGTAGGAAAATGTCACTGTAGCACAATAATTTTTTTTTTATTTGTCTGATTTGGTCGCTAATTTTGTTTTTGCACAATAGACCATTTAACTCATATAAAACGTACCAATAATTACATCACTTTGCTCGATTCCAATCGGTCAACAGGTAAACTTGGTGACTTGGCATTATGATGAGTAGCGGAAGTTGGCCACGACATCACCATGTCTACCCTTCCTAATAAATGAAACCCTACATGTCAGCCAAATCTAACTCCTATCGCCACTAACATCGTCAGCCTCCCACCACCTTCTTCCACCCATCCAGGGATGGTGTTCTTGGTACTTTTCCCACTTCTCAGTCTCAAGAGAGCTCTAATTCATCAGATTTTTGTGATAGAAACCATAGTCACAAAATATGAAAAAGATTACAAATCACATCGTATTACCTTTACATACCATAATTTTGATGGCAAACAAGGTCAATCTCCTTATTCGTTGCTTCCTCAGTTAATCATAATTCTCATGAACTCAATTCAATTTCTCACCTAAATTTGGGTTTCCTAGAGATCTTAAACTAATGGTGGCCTATTTACTCGTCGGAAAGTCAAACTTCGAGTGAAAATGGAAGCAAAATCCTTAAACAAAGCAACGCCAGTGAATTTAGCCCAACACACCAAAAATCAAAATCTTCATATCTCATATCACGCCGACAGACAATGAACTCATCCCACTGAAAAAATTGTCTCCGTCAAAGGTACGCCCTACTATTTCCTCAAACCCTACACGATAAAAAGCAAAATCGGAGGACTTATGACATCAATTACGTGTTGGATGTAGAAAAGGGGAAGAAGATGAAATCCTCGCCATAGTGTGGGATGAGAAGTCCAGTAGGTTGATGAAATTGACGACATATACGTCGAGGGTGCAATTTTATATTGGGAATTATATAGAAGATGTGAAGGGAAAGGGGGGGGGTATATAAAGCACATGTCGGATTGTGTTTGGACCGATAGACTAAGTATAACCGATGAAAACACGTTTCAATATTTAAGAGAAAAGAGAAAAACCATGTTTTATTTTTTAATTAAAAAAATAGTAAAAGCCACATAGACTAAGTATAATCGATGAAACCAGATTCAAATTGGATAATTCCGCTGTTTAACAGGTAAAATTATACTTTAGAGACCTTAATTTTGTGCAAAAAAAAACATTAGTAACCAAATCGGGCAAATAACACAAGTTTATTGTGCTACAATGACATTTTCTCTTTATCTGTCGGTAATATTTCATAGGTAATAACTAATAAGGCGTATTTCTTTCGTAATTTTTAAAAACAACTCAACGATAACAAAATAAGTTTTGTGCAAAACTCTTATGTGGAAGAAAATCGATAAACAAAAAGAAACATATTCTGATATTCAAACGATAAAATAAGACAAAAAGAAGCATAAAAGAAACACATGATATAATTTGTTTTATTTTTATTCTTAGAGCATTGGTCGGTGGTATACCGGGTCATAGATGATTTCCTTGACAACATCAAGGATTGCATTTCCAGTGTACCCGTCGTCTTTTGCATAAAAAAGATTCACCACATTGCACATGCTCCAAAATGCATCTTTGCAAGCTTTCGGAACAATACTTCCCTTTGTTTCCAACACTAATTTCATCATTTCTCTCCTATGATTCTCCATCAGCATTTTAATCTCTTCTACAGCTTCTTGTTCCATAATCCCAGTACTCTTTCCATGACTCATGTACAATGGTACAGCATTCAGTTGTCCCGCCTTCGATTCTCTCTACATGTATTCCATTCATGCAACTTGTTAGTACTAGTAGTAGTATTTTTCACATCTTTAGAGTTCGCATAGAGGAGACTAGCTAGATGGATAAAGCCTTCAGGGGCTATATATTATTAATACCGAAGATGTCATAGACATAAAAGATTCATAACTAGTCCATGTCCCACCTTTATGTGTGGTACAAATAGTTGCAACTTTTGTGCCACTATGAGTGCAATCAAGCTTACAAGATGATGAAGTGGAAAACATCTACCTTAAAGGTATGTATATCATTTAGAAGACGACCATAAGTGCTCATTAGCTCAAATAACTTGTGATACTCAGAGCTTTGAACGATCTCCTCTGACAATTTTGGCCCCACAAAGTATATAGCCAGAGGCACAATTGGACCTAAAGCAAATGATAATAAACCATTTTCTATATACTCGGTCATTGTTGGCACTGAACCATCTCTAGCCCATATAGCTTCTCTCAACATACTCTTCACCACATCCACCCACTGTTTTATAAAACAAATAACTAAATTAATACCATCGTTTTGTAAAATTCAGTAGGAAAAACTAAGAAATTAAGTATATATATACGAAAGTCATGAGATGCCCCCAAATGATTTCATCTTACAATTTCAATAACATGACTTGTTATGTCTCGTTCTTGCCACTTAAACGCTTTGTCTATATTCGAACTGGCCGTATCTTTAATTGCTAAAAATAGAATGCGAACTTCCTCTGAACAACAATCATTTTGGACATCTACATTCCATCTGTGGTTGAGCATTATATGTAAGTTATAACTAGGGATCAAGATTATTTAAAAAGCATATATTTAGGATGTTATATATACTTACTTTTCAACTGTCTGAACCAAGTTCACCAGTTCATCTATAGACCCCCCCGCCATCAAAGAAGTCATCCATCACTGTAGTGAGCATACAACTTTTGGCCCATGAAATTCTTGCGTCTGATAATTCAGGAGAGGGAAAAGTTGAAGCAGCAGAGAAGTAACAGTAGGCTGTCTTTTGCCTAGCAAACTTGAGCTTGTCCAATCTAAACTCCACCACCCACCTACCCATACAAAATGACACCAAGATTTACAAACAAATTGAAACATAAAAATAGGATCAATGATAAGGCTTTATATACACACCTTTCAAGATCTTTTATTTCTTCACGATAAATAGATTGGCATGCATTAAAATCTTCCACTGCCAACCTTAGGTAATCTTCATTGCTAATGTTTAATGAGCTGTCATTAAAGTATAATATTCAGGATTATGAAGTCAGATAAATATAAAATCTAACTTTTGTTTTAGGATTCCAAATAAGACCTCACCTATATGTGGTTTTCAATATTATTCTATTGTCTAAATTGTAATGCTCTATATTTCTTCTAGTGGACATGCGTTCTAGACTACCATTGAAGGGGAAGCTTAAGTGCATCATCCACCTGATTTAATTATAAAGATGATCAGATCTGTGAATATTATAATTAAAGGGGGATAACTTGTCAAATGGAATATTAGAGCACCTCTCTATGAATACAGTTAGAATCAATGGATATTTCCCTTTTAAGGAAATCAGTCGACCTCGAATTTTGTTCTCCCAAACCAGCCAATTCCTCTTGATATATAATCTGTGATGCCTTAAACACTTCAAGAGCTGCATATACATCTTTAAAACCATCTTTACATGAACTCATGTAATCCCCCTTTTTAGTAATTTTAGCTAATGGATCTACAACACAAGCCAAGTGATGATGAAACATAAAAAGATAAGTAGATTAATTTAGTGTAAATAACTTGGCATAAGTTTCATTTTTAAGAAATATACCTGATGAGACTTGATATCCATTTATCCTTAGTAATCGAAAGGCTAGAGCACAAGTGACAACATCCATGAATATTTGGCTGTCCCCCTGCACCCAACATCTATTTTTGTGGCTAATATTATATTTCCAACTAAGAAATTTAGAGAATATTTCTAGCTAATGCATTAAAATTATGTACTGGTTGACCAAATGAGTTTTACATTACATATATAAGAAAGTTTCAGATTCTTTTAATTTAAAAAAAAAGATGAACTCAGTTGGTTCAACAAGTATATATGAACATTACCTGTAAGTTTCGTCTAAAACATTTTGGATTTCCATCTTAAAATGGCGTGTGATTCCCAATCTACCAAGTGTGTCAACCATGCAAAGTCGAATGTATAAATCAAGAGGGTAAACTGTTGGAACTGAGATCACTTAAACATATTAGCAGTATGTAAGCTTCATGCATAGGAAATGGATGACTATGAAAGGAATATATACCTGCATTCCCAAATTTGTTCAAGAGTGAACTTAAATAATCAAGACAACCAGCATCGTTTTGATTATGAATAAGAGCAGCAGCTGTTGCTGAGGGTGAATTGAAGACAGAACCATTCTTCATCTGATACTTCATCACCATATTCCAGTCATGGAAATTTCCGAGTCCTTCTGAGACGTATGCCAAGTACGCTTTCTTCTCATTTGAGTAACATCTAAGAAATGACAATAAATGATGAAGAATTGTTAGTAAGGACTTTTATGCATTCTATTTGTCAAATAGTTTGCTTGAAATTTGTTATGATCATTATTTTCTTTTCAGTGAGAACTCAAATTACTTAAAAATAAGACAGTACATACAAAGTCATGTACCCATAACACCTTAACACAAACAGTTTAGTCACCTTAACACCACATAACCACCACTTCCCAACCATTTACCCTAGAAATATCATGGTTCTAAATAACGTAAGGTGTGACATGGCGGCAATGTCAAACCTCAAGCTTTTTTTGAGTCGTGGTGAGCCACATCGTTTGTCAAAAGTAACTTAATGTGACAATTTTGTATATAATTAATAAATTTATATATATTTTCTACTATTATTCATTTTTATATACATCTGTGACTTAAAACGGCATTTTGTCAAAGTTTGACGACATTTTGTTAAAGCAAGGTATATATTATAAGAAGGAAAAAGCCGGCGATTCTCACCTTCGGATTGTGTCCAACGATTAGGGTTTCTTAGGTTTTGATTTTTGGGATTTGTTTTCCTAGTTTCTAGTTTGTTTGATAAAACTTGTTAATATATATAATAGAGTTTGTGTTTTTCTTGGATTCAAATACTTTGTAGTTTTCTTTAATTTTGTAGATAAAACCCAACTGGATTAGGATTTGTGGAATTATTTTTTTTTTGGTTTTTTTATTAATGAAAAGTATTTCAAAATAATTCCATTCCCTCAAATATAGTTGCCATTTTCCTCGAGGAATTCCCGTTTTATGATGGTTGGATTTAATTTGGGTATGCATGGAATTTTACAAGGGTATGCAATCCTAATATATATATATATATATATATATATATATATATATATATGTATATATATATATATATAATATTTTTTTTAAGAATAAAAACGGTAATTCTAGTTAGTGTTGTAAAACTTGCCGAGTTTGCCGATTACTTCTCCGAGTACTCGCTACTTGGCCCCTTACCGAGACGAGTTACAGAATTCTGAGTACTCCCCGATCGACCCCTTACTGAACTGAGCAATGTTGTAAAACTCGGTCAACTCAGTGATTAATATGTATAATATACTTAATAATTTATTATTTAACACACAATTATTATTACATATATATCATAAATTTTAGTAATTGCTCACAAAGTGAGTCCATTATGTGTTTTTCAGTTTTGATGTATTCATATTTATCTAATTTTGTTATATATTTCAATCAACTTATGGTTTTAACTTATTATTTTGACATATATAATTTACCTAAAAATATTTATATATGAATTACCAAATCTGAGTACTCCCAGAGTACTCTCAAGTACTCGCTACTCGGTAGTCGGCCGATCAGATACCGAGTAATGAGTTTTACAACTTTGGTTCTAGCTAGTAACTAATCAAAGGTATCCATTTGCATACCCTTCCTTCCAAAGTTGTACATCACCCCGATTAACAATAATTTTAATATATTAACAACGATTTTATAAGGTAACCTTTTTATTTATTTTGTGCAATATTTGAAAGAAAAAGTCGTGCTTTGACCCATGTCCCCATATTTTTCCTTGTTTTTTACAATTTTTTTCCTACTTTCATTTTTTTTTCTATGAATTTTGCTCAACATATTTGTACAAAAATTTCCGCATTTCTTTTACAACTTTGTTTGTTCAACATTGTACAAAAATTTCCCCATTTCTTTTACAACTTTGTTTGTTTTATGCTTTTAAAAACTTAGTTTTCTTTTTCTTTGATTTTGTATAAATTTTCTTTTTAATATTTTTTACAATTTTTTTTTTAATTTTTTTGAACATTCATTTTTACAACATTAGTTTTTATTTACAGAATTATTTTTTTACATGTTTTTTAAAGATTTTTTTGTTTTGCATGTTTACTTTTATGGTTATGTTTTTTTTTATAAATTTTATTCTAAACTATATCTTGTCTTTTATATAAATATTTATTTTTTACTACAACAAAGTGAAATATGCTGCACAGTTGGAGAAAAAATGAAAAATGCTTTGGTTTGACCTAATATATGAATTTATGCTTTGGGTTGACCCAATATCTCGTTTGGACCTTTGGTCACTCTTTTAGTTTCTTATATTGTTTCTCAATGTTACATATTTATTATTTCAAAAAGGAACTGAATCTTTTTTGGTAATTATATAATGTTTAATGTTTAGCAAATTAAATAGCAAGAAGTGAAATCCAAGTGGAGAATTTTCACTTTTCACTTAGACAAATAGATATAAGAAGTTAAATTTAATAAATACGAATTTGCCATTTAAAGTTAAAAGATAATAAGTAAAGAGAGCAATAACCAAGAAAATAGATTATGTTATATGATGAAATTAACAATGTGTGAGAACGGTATATTATACAAGTTTGATTAAAAAAAATTAAATATCAAAGTATAAATATTTAACATTTTAAAATAAAATTTCAGAATTTATAGAGTTAAAAAAAAAAATCTTTATTGTAGTTATGTCCAACGGTTTTGGTAATTTATACAAAGAAAATCGCGAATAACCATTATTTTTTGCAATAAACCAAGTCAATATCCATGCCGGCGTCTGTTAGAAACAATCTTCAAGTCGGCAGGAAGTCCCCAAGTTTTAGAACCCTCTCAACACAAAAGTATGGCCCACAATATTCTTTTTAATTTACACTTTATTGTTACTTGTTTCATTTAAGTTTATTATAAATATATGTAATAAAGAATCAATATTATTTTTCAATAGATGAAACCCTTACAGGGAGTTAATTTGTACATTTAAAATAATTTTCATGGTGAATATATTTTGATAATTTTTTATTATAAATTATTCAAACTAAAAATCACTATTGAATATGTTTTGTTGAAAGCAATAGCGAAAAAATAAATTGTTTCTATTTTTAGATTTGATGTAAAAACTATATATATATATATATATATATAATATATATATATATATATATATATATATATATATATATATGTCAAATATAAATAATTAGTATGCATTAATTATTTAAAAAACTATAGTTTATATGTTAGCTATGTGAATTTACAAATGATCACGTGACATCTATTTCACTAATTTTCATTTTAAGGATATATCATACTTGATTTTACTATTATTTTATCAACCATTTAGTTACGAAAATTAAAAAAAAAATGATAAAAATATTATATTTGCTGTTTTTAAATACATGATATTTTTGCCTCTTCAACCTCATTGCCAAATACTTTTTAATTAATAATTTTATCAAATTAATATCTTTTATTTTTCATATTCAATAAATGAGATAAATTAGTAAAATAATATTAAATTTTTTGAATATAAAATATAATTAAGAGGACAATATATAAATGCTTATAGAAAAGAATATAAAAATATAATGTTATAATAGATACATAAATAGTTAAATAATAGTAGGTGACTATACAATAAGAAAATAGTTCACATAAACCAACCATTTAAGTAGTGAAAGATTCATAATAAGTCACAAATTACGTATGTACCACCAAAACAGATTGTGTCGGTATAACAATGAAGATGTTACTAAGAAAGTACATAGCATTTTTCTTCTGCATACAAAAATTTATACTCTAAAATAGTGTATTATATAACTTTATAAAACTGAAAATTTTATTTATGGAGAAAAAACTATTATATACAAATCATTTCTATCCACTATATAAACAATAATCTATCATTTTAATTCTTATAAGCCCCCTCTCGTCTTCAAGTATAAACATTAAAAATTTTAACTCATAATTTATTTACTATACTCATATTTCTATATCAACTTAAAAAGTTATAAATTATGAATATGTAATACATTAACTTATCTAAAAATATATTCAATATCGGTATTAGTTTAAAGATATTAACCAATTTTTTATGATATAATATTTTAAAATGAATTTAGTTATATAGTTCTAATAAAAACTAAAATGTTTGTATACATTACATAATAGTTATGTAAAATGAAATTTTAGTAAGAACCGGATATAAACAAAAAAATATTATATAATTAAAAGGTTACGCATGAAAAATATTCAAAAGTTCAATTTGTGCATTATCAACTTTGTGTCTAATTAGGAGGGTTCCCGTATATATTCCAAAATCCTTTATGTTATAATGGACAAGTATATGTTATCATCATAATAATCGGCATACGTACCTTCTAAGCTCCAGTTCTCTCTCATGTAACATCACACTCAAATCTGTTTGGTTTAAAGGGAGCTTTATGTTCAAGTCGTTCGCATACTCAAGCATACCAGGAAATATAATGTCAAATCCAAATGGAGATAGTTGACTCTTGTCATTAGCTGAAGCAAAATTTGACTCGATATAATGTAGACCTGCAACAAGATTCGATTGTTTAATTATCTGGATTCTGGAGTACATAAACAAACAGTGGCAGGAAGAGAGCATGCATGCACACATGCAGCCACATACCTTTGTTAATTTGATCTTTCCCAACATTCCATCGTTTTAATGCAAGTACACATGCTAATGTTGAAGAGAGAGTATCTTTAATTAATGAGGAACGATGAGGAAGAAGACCCCATGAACCATCATCAAGCTGATTATCCATTAACCAGTTCAGACAATCAGGGAAACAAGGGGACTTGGGAGAGTTTGGAGAAGGAACCATGGCTACCCAGGCTGTGTCATATGAAGAAACAGAAACCTCCACATTGCTGAACAGCTTCCGAATTCGCTCTTTGGTCATATCGAGGTTCTGCATATAATTTGTAGATATATAATAACAGTTTTTTATATTTCAAACAAATCAAAGAACGTGAATGGGGAACTGAACGCAGTGAGTGATCATACCATAACAGCAGGATTAGCTTGTTCAGAATGTGAAGAAGCTGCAAATAATTAAAAGAAAAAAAAAAATCCGAATTAACGATTTTCTTTCTTGATAGATTATCAGATTCATCCAGCATGTCAAGAATCTCTATCTATTAAATTCAAAAAGATTTTTTTAAGGATGAGGAAAACCAGATTTCAAAAAGATTTCTTTACTCTCTAATCTAGTCAATAAGTAATTGCTCAACTTACGTACCTTTACGAAGAGGCGATGAACTGTATTGCTGCATGCAACAACCAACCACCCATGGCCTACGTGATACGGGTGATGAAGAGACTACCATGACTGATGTGATCTGTGTGATATTCATTGATGTTTCCTTGAGAAACTATTCCCTAATTTTAATTAAGAAAGTGATCATTTGCATGCATATGTTCCAGTTATTAGTATTTTATCATGAGTTTCGTGTCTCCATTTGTTCAAAGTCGTAGAGAAGTTACCTGAAGATGATAGAGAGACGTTGAAAGAGAGAAGCATAGAAGAAGAAGGTGATTATATTACAAACAAGTTGCAATTTCCATGCATGGTTTTTCATACATAATGAAGACTGATATGATCAATATATAATAGGCTGAAAGAATACCTCCGATACGATCTATTTAAATTGGCCACATGGTCAGCTTTATACCACTCCATTTCATTATATTTACGAATTTGCCAACAGCATACTGGTGTCGTAATATACCCATCAAGCGAATCGTTGGGAGCTAGCAATAGGAATTCTAGGCCGGTTGAAACCAAGTGAGGCCGGGGCAAACACAAAAAAACGGGCCCTTCAAATTTCAAGATTTAATTTTTTTTTTTTGTCCCCTAGACATAATAATACAAATGTTATTATAATATTAGACAACATATTCTCCAAAATAACATTAACTGATAAATCAATATTAAGATCAATGTCAATGAATTGGTAATAAACATAACAATTGAAGTGTATGATAATGAATTGAAAATCATGTTAGGTAACGAAATTACAAGCTTCAAAATTGGGGGACAATGCACATAGAGCTAGACTGAGTTTGTGCATGATGATGATTATTATCAGGTTATTAGATTCTCTAACTAACATCGAAGAAAATAGGTTCAATTCGAATCCTATAATTCACATTATGAGTAGAATGTATTGTTTTTTTTTTTTCGTGTTAATGCAGACGAGCAAAAGGTTCTATGTGATATTCTATTCGGAGAATATTAGACTCGAATTTTATAAACCAAAAAAGTTGTAATTAAATTAGGACGGTCGGTATATTAGTTATACTTTTTTTTTTAAAGATTGGTTAACGTTCGGTTGAATATTTAAATAACAAAAAGATGAATGGAACTGAGCCTAAATAAATTGTAGTATATGTTTGATTTAGGACCTCACATTCGGTTTCAACTGCTTATTAAAAAAATCCAAAATTGGGTCTACGACCTACTATATAAAATAAGTTCCAAATGTTTGATTTTGTCATTTGGAGGCCATATTAAAGGCTAAAGTAAAATAATAGCTAACAAACTATATTTCAAAAAAAAGAACATGAGTAAAAACAATAGCTAAATTCCAAATGTTTGATTTGGTCATTTGGGGGCATGTTAAAGGATAAAGTAAAACAAAAGCTAACAAACTATATTTAAAAAAAAAAAAAAAAAAAAAAAAAAACATGAGTAGAGAATACTAGTATGCTTGTATCATTTTTGAGAATGCTAATCTATAATACGAATTCATATTAATTAGCAACCACCATTTTACTTTCCAATTTAAGATTGATAATACTAATATGATCTTTCAAACAACAATCTTTCCAACCTAATTACAAATTTACAACTATTCTTCAAGCATCAACTCATGGGACACAGGTTCATAAATAATTTCCTTGACGACATCAAGAATGGCATTTCCAGTGAACCCATCATCTGTCGCATAAAAAAGATTCAACACATTGCACATGTTCCAAAATACATCTTTGCATACTCTTGGAACAACACTTCCTTTTGTTTCCAAAACTAATTTCATCATCTCTTTCCTTTGACTTTCGGTCAAAATCTTCATCTCCTCTACAACCTCTTCTTCCACACTCCCACTCTTTCCATCACTCATGTACAATGCTACAGCATTCAATTTCCCCGCCTTCATTTCTCTCTGCATTCACACAACTCATTACCAGTGTCAATATCAGTATCAGTAACAGTAACAGTAACAGTAACAGTAACAGTAACAGTGACAGTGACAGAGAACAGCTACCTTGAAGCTATGGATATCATTCATGAGACGACCCTGAGTGCTCATAAGCTCATAAAGCTTGTGATACTCTGAGCTCTGAACAACTTCCTCTGACAATTTTGCCCCTAAAAAGTAAAGAGTAGGGAGGACAATTGGGCCTAAAGCAAATGATACATAACCATTTTCCATATACTCATTTATTGTTGGAATTGAACCATCTTTTGCCCATATAGCTTCTCTCAACATACTCTTCACCAAATCCAACCACTGTTCAAACAAATAACTGAATAAAATAGTAATACCATTTTTTTTGTAAATTTTAAAGGGAGAAAGGAATTCATCTTACAATTTCAATAACATGGCTTGTTATGTTGCGTTCTTGAATCTTAAAGGCTTTGTCTCCAATCCAACAGACTGCATCCTTAAGTGCTAAAAATAAAATGCCAACTTCCTCTGAACAGCAATCATTTTCAACATTTACATTCCATCTGTGGTTTATAAAAGTATATGATAAAAGATTATCTGGATATATATAATATATATATATATATATATATATATATATATATATATATATAATTGGATGTATATACTTTTCAATGATCTGAACAAAGTTCACCAGTTCATCCATAGATCCTCCAACATCAAAAAAGTCATCAATTACTGTAGTGAGGATGCTACTTTTGGCCCATGAAATTCGGGCATCTGATAATTCAGGGGAAGAAAGAAACGAAGCAGCAGAAAAGTAACAGTAGGCTGTCTTCTGTCTAGCAAATTTGAGCTTATCCAATCTATTCTCCACCACCCACCTTTTAAAATTACATCAAGATTTATTAACTCATTAAAAAGTTATGGGCTTTAACCGTAAATTCAAAAAAAGAAAAAAGGGATCACTGATAAAGCTTTAGAATTTAGATACAGACCTTTCAAGATCTTTTAGTTCTCCACGATAAACAGATTGGCATGCATTGAAATCTTGCACTGCTAACTTTAGGTAATCTTTGTTGCTAATGTTTGATGAGCTGGAATTTGAGTACAAGATTTTAAGGGCTATGCATTTGTAAAATATAATAATCTGAATTGTTTTAAGACTTGAAAATAAGACATCACCTATATGTAGTTTTCAAGATTCTTGTGTGGTTTAAATTGTAATGCTCTATGTTTCTTCTAGTGGACATGCGTTCTAGGCTGCCATTGAAGGGGAACTTAAGAGCATCATCCACCTGATTTAGTAAGAAATTCAGATATGTGGATTCTTTCCTTAAGGGAGATAATTTGTCAAAGTGAAAAGTTGAACACCTCTTTGTGAATACAATTAGAGAGCTTGTTACTTGAAGGGAGATAACTTGTCAAGTTTTGTTCTCCAAAATGTAACTCCTCTTGATATATGATCTGTGATGCCTTATACACTTCAAGAGATGTGTATATGTCATTGAAAGGCTTTTCGGGTGAATTCATGTAATCCCCCTCTTTGGTGATTTTAGCCAATGGATCTACACATAAGTAATGAAACAAAAAAGATGAGAAGATTTAGGGGAAATGACTTGTCATATGTTTGTTTTTTTAAGAAATATACCCGAAGAGACTTCATACCCATTGCTTCTTAATACCCGAAAAGCTAAAGCACAAGTGACAACATCCATGAATATTTGCACATCCCCCTGCACCCAACATCTATTTTTTGTGGATTTTATCATATTTCCAACTCATTATGACATTAACATTATGAATATGAACATTACCTATATGTTTCATCTAAAACATTTTGGATTTCCACCATGAAATGTCGTTTGATTCCCAATCTTTCAAGTGTGTCAACCATGGAAAGCCTCACATATAAATCAAGAGGGTAAACTGTTGGGACTGATATTTACCACACAAAACCACTTACACTTGTTAGCAAAATGTAAAATTTGAATGACTATATATGAAGTATGAAATGAATACCTGCATTTCCAAATTTGTCCAAGAGTGAAGTTAGATAATGAAGACAACCAGCATTTTGATGATGAATAAGAACAGAAGCTGTTGCTGAGGGTGAGTTGAAAAGAGAACCATTCTTCATTTGATATTTCATCACCATGTTCCAGTCATTCAAATTTCCAAGTCCTTCTGAGATATATGCCAAGTATGCTTCCCTCCCATTTGAATGACATCTAAGTGATGATAACAAATTAAGAATTTTGATAAGTATATGTTATATAATGATAATAACCAGCATACCTTCTTAGCTCCAATTCTCTCTCATGTAACATCACACTCAAATGTGTTTGGTTTAAAGGGAGTTTTATATCCAAATCTTTCGCAAACTCAAGCATACCAGGAAATATGATGTCAAAACCAAATGGAGATGCTTGATTTTTGTCAGTGACTGAAGCAAAATTTGACTCAATGTAATGTAAACCTGCAACAAGAATCAATTGTTTAATTATCAGGAGAATATGAACAGGTAATGACAAGGAAGAGAGAGCATTGGTCACATTACTCACATACCTTTGTTAATTTGGTCTTTCCCAACATTCCATCGTTTTAATGCAAGTACACATGCTAATGTTGAAGAGAGAGTATCTTTAATCAATGGGGAATGATGAGGAAGAAGACCCCATGAACCATCATCAAGCTGATTATCCATTAACCAGTTCAGACAATCAGGGAAACAAGGGGACTTGGGAGAGTTTGGAGAAGGGACCATGGCTACCCAGGCGGTGTCATATGAAGAAACAGAAACTTCCACATTGTTGAACAGCTTTTGGATTCGTTCTTTGGTCACATCAAGGGTCTACATATAATTTGTAGATAATATCAGTTTATTATTTGGATCAAACAAAGTAACTTGGGCAACTGAATGCATTCAGTAATACCATGGAAGTAGGATTAACTTGTCCAGCTTGTGAAAAAGCTGCAAACAAAAAACCTGAATTAAGCCAGGAAATGAAGAGCCACAAAAAGTGAATCCAGAGATGATCAACCCAACTATGGTATAATCGACTAATTAAACGCATAAGAAAAAAAAATCGATAAGTTAACAGATTAAGAACGATTTTGCAGATTTTAAACAGAGGAACAGATTTCAAAATGTCGGATTAAAGTAGAATTTTCAAAATTTT